GCGAGGACGCCGTCATCGTCGTCGGCGTGATCAGCATCGGCGCCCGCACTGGCCGCGCCGTCATGGTCGTTGTCAACATCGTCACTGGCATCGCTACTATCATCGTCGTGTCTATGGTTGTCGACGTTGCCATGATACCGCGCCCGCCCAAGTCGCCAATTCGCACTGAAGTGCCCGCTGGGATGTGCCCAGCGGTCAGCGCCACCGCGGTCGCGTCGGTCGCGCCAAACTAGCTGGCCGTTGCGCGCGCGCGTGCTTGCGTTGGCGCGACCGCAGAGATGCACCAGCCAACGCCGCGCACCCATCGCAATCGCCACCGCATGGGTTTTACAAACAAAGTTGCGGATTGTCAACTCGTTTGCAAAAAAACCAGTTTGACTTCATATTTTGTTTCTCGTAGAATGCGCAGCATATATTGCCAACAACATCGTTGGGGTCCACAGTGGCTAACGCACAGAACTGTGTGTATGGTATGTGTCGGTCGAGTGGTTCGGGACACCTGTCCTTGTCTCTTGCTCTTGCAGTTCCCCGCGCAGCTACTCTCCTTGTGTCCCTCCCCCCCCCGTCACGGGGGGGGAGCCGGGGGTGGAAAGGGGCAAGGGAAAGGGGGAAGGATGGAGCACGAGAGGGGCTGGCGGGAGGGGGGGGGGGCTAGGAGCAGAAGAGCGGGCGACAGAGCCTGACGGGCCGCCCTGGCGCACCCCCCTTTCCGCCCCCCCCCGTTCGTGTCGCAAACTTTGCGTTGCTCTGCGTTGCTTCGGGTTGCCACTCGTTGCGTTGGTTGACGCTGCCTTGCGTTGCATTGCTTTGGATTGCTTTGCGGTGCTTTGCACCGCACTGCACTGCTTCGCATTGCTTCGCGTTGCTCTGCGTTGCCCTGTCTTGTTCTGCGTGGCTCTGCATTTCTTTGCCTCGCTTTGCGTTGATCGCCACTGCTTTTCGTGACTTCGCACTGCTTTGCATTGCTTTGCTTTGCATTGCCTCGCATTGCTTCGCGTTGGTTTGCACAGCTCCGCATTGCTTTGCGTTGTTTTGTCTTGCTTCGCACTGCTTTTCATTCACTTGCGTTGCTTTTCTTTGCGTTGCGTTGCGTTGTTTTGCATTGATTTGCCTTGTTTTGCGTTGCTCTGCGTTGCGTTGCAGTGCTGTGTCTTTTTCTCCACAACCAAACCAATGCATAACAGTAGCTTATGCATCGTCGCCGTCATTGGCCTTGCCGTCGATCTTGTCATCATCGCCAATTCTCGCTACTATGATTATCGTTGCTGCCGTTGTCGACGTCGTCATGAGCGGGGACGTTGCCATCGGTGAGCGCCATCGCGGCCGCGTCGGTTATGCCGAACCAGCTGGCCGCTCTGCGCGCGAGCTTGCGCGCGCCAGCGCGGCTGCAGACACGCGCCAGCCATGGCCAAGTAGTCACCGCAATCGCCACCTGATAGGTTTTACAAACCAAGGTGCGTGTGGGAAAGTGGGCTGGTTGCGCGAGCAGCGGAGTGAACAGTTCATGATTGTGCAAGAACTAATTGCCACCCAGGCTGCACCGTCTGGGGCTCGCTTTTGCTAGCGTTTATATGTATTGTGAAGGCCTGACGGCCAGTGCCGCCGATCCTGAAAGACATCGACGACGACCAGGAGGGGGAGGAGGAGGAGGAGGAGGAAGAGGAGGAGGATGAGGAGGAGAAGGAGAAGGAGGAGGAGGCGGAGATAAGGAGGAGGAGGAGGAGGAGGAGGAGGAGGAGGAGGAGGAGGAGGAGGAGGAGGAGGAGGAAGAGGAGGAGGACTCGCTTTTGCTAGCTTTTATATGTGCAGTGTAATTCTATGCATATGCCTGCTCCGGGCGCCAGAGGTCTGGGCAGCGCGCTGCTCCAGGCGCAGAACACGCACGCTGAACGTGGCCTCCTGCCCGCCTCTTCCTCCGCCTCTGGGGAACTCCCGAAGCGTCGGGAGGCCGGCAGACACCTCCGGAAGACTCCCCTCCGAGGGAGCCCCCGAGGGCTCCCAAAAGCTTCCCGAGGCTTCTGGGGGCCCCCCGGGGCCCTCTGAAGGCCTCCGACGAGCCTCCCGGGGCCCCCGATGTCCTCCGGGGGAGCTCCGTGGGCACCCCGTGGGGCCCCGAGGAGCTTCAGGATGCTCCCGAGGGTCTGCGTGGGCCTCCGAGGGCGGAGGCGGCGGAGGACGCGGAGGACGCGGAGGACGCGGAGGAGGCGGAGGAGGCGGAGGAGGAGGCGGAGGAGGCGCAGGAGGCGGAGGAGGAGGAGGAGGAGGAAAGGAGGAGGAGGATGAGGAGGAGGAGGAGAGGAGGAAGGAGAGGAGAGGGAGGAGGAGGAGGAGGAGGAGGAGAGGAGGGGACGAGGGAGGCGAGGGGAGGGAGGGGGAGGGGGCCGAGAGGGGCGGGGGGGGGCGGCAGGAGGGAGGCGAGGGGAGAGGGGAGGCTAGGTGGAGGCGGGGGCCACCAGGGGGCCGCAGCACAACTTCCGAAGGTTCCTGAACACCTCCGCAGGAGCGTGGCGGGCGTGCAGGGGCGGCTGCACGACGCCGTCAAGCAGCGCGCCCTGTCCAGGCTGCCGACCACCAGCGCCGGCCTCGGGCCCTGATCCTGTCACTCGCTCCCTCCTTCCTGCTACCTCCTTCCTGCTCCCTCCTTCCTGCTCCCTCCTCCTCCTTCCTCCTCCCTCTTCGCTCCTCCTCCTCCTCGTCCACCTTACCTCCTTCTCCCTCCCTTCCTTCCTCCTCCTCCTCCTCCGTCCTTCCTTCCTTCCTTCCTTCCTTCCTCCCTCCTGCTTTCTCCCATTCCCCTCCACCTCCTGCTCCCTTGCCCTTCCCCCCTCCTGCTCCCCTCCCGCCCCTTCCCCCCCTCCTACCGTCTCTAGATTTTGCCTTCCTCCCCCTGGCCTGCCCTCCCCCGCCCCACCCCTCCATCCGCCTTCCTCCCCCTGCCTCCCCGCACCTCCCTCCCTCCCTCCTTCCTCCTCCACGCCCTCAACTCCCTCTTCCTTCCTTCCATTCCCCTCTCCTCACCTCCCCCTCCTTCCTTTCTCCTCCTCCCCAACCATCCTCCTCACTCACCCTCCATCCCACCCCTCCTCCTTTCCTCCTCCCTCCTCCTCCTCCACCTCCTGCTCCCTTCTCCTCCTCCTCCTCCTCCTCCTCCTCCTCCTCCCCTCCATCGCCTTCTCGCTCCCTCACTCCTCCCTCTTTTTCCTCCCTCCCTCCCTCGCTCCCGCCCTCCCTTGCTCCCTCCCTCGTGTTTCCTCGTAACTTCTCCCTCGTCTTCCCTTCTTCTCCCTTCTCCTCCTCTGTGTCCTCCTTCCTCCCTCCTCTTCCCTCATCCCTCCCTCCACCCTCCTCCCTCTGTTCTCCTCCTCAGTCCTCCTCCGCCTTGTGTCCTGCGTCGTGGGTCCTCCGTCCTGCCTCCTCGCTTCCGCCGTCCGCCACCTCTCCTTCCTCTACCCTCCTTCCTCCTACCTCCTCGCTTCCCTCCTCCCCTTCCTTTCCTCTTTCCTCCTCCCCTCCTCCCTCCTGCCTCCTCCTTCCTCCTCCCTCTTCGCTCCTCCTCCCTGCCCCGGCAGGGCGCGGGGCCGGCGCGGGGCCGAGGCGCCGACGACGACGAGGCCGTCCAGCGCTGCAGGGTGCTGCAGTACCTCCAGGCAACGTCCTCGTCGTTCTCGTCGTCGTCGTCCTCCTCGGGCGACGAGACCTCTGTGCATGCATATCCACCGCCCTTGGTCAGGCCCGTCCTGTGCCCAGGATGGGCCTGGCCAGGGGCGGCGGGTACGCGCAGACCTTGTCGCCCTCCCTCCTCCCTCCCTCCTCGCCCTGCCTCCCTCCCTCCTCCCTCCTCTATCTCTCCCCCCTTCGCCAGGCTCAGGAGAAGGGAGGGCAGCACGTGTTTTGGAGGCTGTCTGGGAGTGATACCAGGCTCTGGAGCGGGTCCTTCTGCTGCCCCCTCCCTCCTCCTTCTCCTCCTCCTCCTCCTCCTCCTCCTCCTCCTCCTCCTCCCTCCTCCCTCCCCTCCCTCCCCCTCCTCCCTCCCTCCCTCCCTCCCTCCCTCCCTCCCTCCTCCTCCCTTCTCCTCCTTCTCCTCCTCCTCCTCCTCCTCCTCCTCCTCCTCCTCCTCCTCCCTTCTCCTCCTTCTCTTCCGGCTCCTCCTCCTCCTCCATCCCTCTTTCTCCTCATCTGGGGCTGTCTGTGCGCAGCCCGAAGCCATGCAAAGGGGAGGATGGGGAGCAGGGAGGGAGGATGGAGGAAGGAGAGTGGAGGAGAGAGGGGGGTTTTGGGATGGACGAAGAGGAGGAGCAGAGTGGAGGAGGGGGGACGAGGGAGGGAGGATTTCTGGGGGAGAAGGAGGAGGGGGAGACGAGAGGCGATGACGGCGGGATGGAGACGGGAATGGAACAGGGGACGTGAGGAGGCGTGGGAGGGCGAAGAATGATAAGGAGGTCGCCGTCGACCTTCTCCTCCTCCTCGTCCTCATCCCTCCCTCTCCCTCTCGGTTTCATCCTCTCTCCTCCCTGCTCCCTGCTCCTTCTCCCCATCTGCAGCATTGTAGACAATATGCGCAAAGGAAATGCACGCACTGCGTTGATATGCATATACGTAGCACCCCGCAGATGCGGATAAGAGTGAGGGAGCGGTGGGGACGTCGGCAGTCTGCGCCGAAGTTTCACAAATTCTACAAAGAGCCCGCCGCAGGCGCCGATTTTTTCTTCAAGCCAATGTGGATCAGTCGCGGGTGGGTCGCGGGTGGGTCGCGGGGTGGGCCGCGGGTGGGTCGCAAATGGGTCGCGGGCGGGTCGCGGATGTGTCGCGGATGGGTCGCGTGGCGGGTCGCGGGTGGGTCGCGGGGTGGGTCGCGGGTGGGTCGCGGGTGGGTCGCGGGTGGGTCGCGGGGTGGGTCGCGGGTGGGTCGCGGGTTGGGTCGCGGTTGGGTCCGCTGGTGGTCGCGGGGTGGTCGCGGGGGGGTCGCGGTGTTCGCGGGCGGGTCGCGGGTAAGGTCGCGGGGGCGGGGGGCGACGACTACAAACAACAACAACAACAACAGCAACAATCACTTTACCCGAACGCTCAGTGTTCTCACCAGTGCCAGGGTTTTCATGCGACGCCAGCCAATACCCCCACTTTGTGGGGGGGCAGTGCAAGCTCTACCAAAAACCCACACGACTCTTCGCCACCACCCACACCCAGCTTCCCGCCCTATGACGTTCGGACACTTCACTTCGTGGCCTGCGGACGACCGTGGCTACTACACTAGGCCGGGCGCAACCGCAAGGGATTATGGCCCCTGGCATGCGCGCGAACCCCGTTGCAAGAGCGTGCGAAAGTAGCTCGCGCGAGCTCATGTAACATAAATGTTGGAAAACCATTGGTTTTTAGGATTCGGACAGCGCGCGCGGGTAGAAATTTTGAAAAGTCGTGCAGGTGTTTTTCGAGGACCTACGGTGCGATTCGTGTGATTTTATGATGCGCGGTGCTAAAATTCTTAAGAAGCCCAATGGTTTTTGGAGATTTCGGCGTGCGCGCGCGAAGAAAAAACAAATGTGTCCCGCATGGTATTATTTGACAGGGATGATGGCCCTGGCAGGTGCGCAACCGATGTCGCAGAAGTTCGAAAAAGTTGCTCGCAAAAGCCCGTTTGACAGAAATGTTTAAAAAGTGTTGGGTTTCCTACGAATCCGCAAGAGCGCGCGGGATGAAATTTAGACATTTTTTTTGAAAACAAAAAAAAAAAAACCATTGGTTTTTTGATGTTTTTATGTTAAAATCGCTCCGAACACTAAGCTTTTGGAAGGATTTCGTCTTGCGCGCGCGAATGTCCACTTTACCTTATTTTTTGCAAAGGGATTCTTGAAATTTGATTATATTAGAACAAGAAATGTCATTTTCTATCGTTTTTTGCAAGGGAAAGCGGATAACAACAAAACAACCGGATCCTGTACACACCCTCTTTTCTGAGGCTTCCTCACGAAAATGATGAAAATGTAGCTGCGGCCTAGGCGGCGCAGGGGGGGCGCGCACCAGGGGGCCCAACAATAATTATTCTTTACAATAAATAATGTTCAACACCAGCAACAACACCAACAACACCAACAACGACAGCAGCAGCAACAACAACAGCAACACCAACAACAACACCAACAACAACAGCAACAGCAGCAACAACAACACCAACAACAATAGCAACCACACCACCACCAACAACGCCACCAACAACACCACCATGAACACCAACAGCAACAACAACACCAACAGTATCAACAACATCAGCAGCACTAACAGCAACAGCAACAGCAACAACACCAACAACAACATCAACAACACCAACACCAACACCAACACCATCAACAACAACAGCATCAACAGCAGCACCAGCAACAGCAACACCAGCACCACCACCACCACCAACACCAACAACAACAACACCAGCACCAACAACATCACCGACACCGACACCAACACCAACAGCAACACCAATTACAGCAACAACAACAGCCAGAGCAACAACAACGCCAACACCAACAACGACAACGACAACGACAACAACAACAAACAACAACACCAATAACAACACCACCAACAACAACACCAACGACAACAACGACAAAGCAACGAGCGGAATCCTCATCACGGATTCTCACTTCAGCCACGCACCCAGGGACAATGAATGATCGTTCGCCCCCCTCGCTCTGACCGTTTGTGGTGTGGAGTGACAATACATGCATATTTGCACACACGTTGCAATATGCATATTCAACATACAGTATGTTATCGCAAGCTTTGGAAGGGTTTGGATGGAGTTTGCCACTGGACCGCATAACAGCTATGACGCAACACTATTCTCATGAACTCAATCTGGGGGAAGGTACGGACTTTGTGGAAGAAGGAGGAAGTATGATAATCATTGGAGTTTGGTTAAATGCACAAGGCCAAACACATATGGACACAAAAGCCAAAGTAAGCTGTATGACATCGGCCGTGCAGGCCAGCAAACACCTTCTTTGCTCGCGGTCGGTGGGCAGGGGCAAGCGGCTCCAGCTTGTGGCAGATTTGTCCAGGTCAAGTGCTTTGTGGAGCGCTCCGTGCTGGACAATGGGGCAGGGAGACATGCTGTCGCTTCGTGGGAGACAGAACAGGCTTCTTGGCCAACACTTCCATCTCTCCCGTATTTGGAACGAGACAGATGCCGCATGCGCCAAAAGACTCAACCGGGAGATCCGCAGTGCCAAAGTATCCCAGGGAATATCTGATCTCGATGTGCAGGCCCTTCGAAGACAACACTGGTATGTATGTCATCCTGCCAGGTGGTGCGAAAGAGATCCAGAAAGTATTCAATGCAAAGTGGTACAGTGGAACAGATACCCTCGAGTTGCACTTAATGAAACAACACGTTTGTAGGTCTTTGTCAGATTTTGCCATTGGGCTGTCGACGAGTACTCGTTTGTTCGGCACTACCACTTCAAGAAAAACGTGGACTGGTTCGAGATAGCGCAGGACCGGAAGGAATGGACGAGGCAGGAAATTGAGTGGGTCTTTGTTAGATTAGGGGAGTCGTCAAAGCATGCTGTATTGTAGTGTAAGTTGGGCGCTTGCGCTGCTTTTCGAAGTCGGAGTATGGCTCTCTCAGGACTTGCCACCACCACCACCACCTGCCGCCCGTGCTCCCCTCGGAAACTTCTCTTTCGTATCTTCACTCCGCGTCGATCTCCTCTCCTCCCTCCCTCTCGCTCCTCAAAGCCTCATCATTTCAAGGCCCTCGCTCTCCTCCTCCTCCTCCTCCTCCTCCTTGCGCCCCTGTGCCCTCCTTCCTCCTCCCTCCTCCTCGTCCTCCTCCTCCTCGCTCCCCGCGCCTCCACCTCCGCGTCCCTACTCGCCCCATCCCTCCTCCCCCTCCCCCTCCTCCACAATTACTCAATATGAATACTACCATTGATTTTTTTTGGTTACAGTGCAGCTTTAATTGGTTTCGGAATTATTTCTGTAGTGCGCACTGTATGCAATTACATCAATAATTGTGTCGGGAATTAATAATGTAGGCTCGAAATATTGCCAAGAGCATTTTGGTTATGCATTTCTATTGAGTTGGGAAGTTAGAAAGGAATTCGATAAGGAATTTCCGGAGTTAGAAAGGAATTTGAATACCAGAGATAGTTCTGAACCTCAAAGACAATCGAGTCCGAATTGCCCGAGGAAGCCAGGGCCAGGAAGGGAAAAAGAAGTTAGAAAGGAATTCGATAAGGAAATTCAAGAGTTAGAAAGGAATTTTGTTTTTTGGGTTGTTTTGGTGTTTTTTTTTAAGACGCCGAGAGGTCTGAGCCGAATGAAAAAGAGTTAGACAGGGAATTTGATAAGAAATTTCAAGAGTGTTAGCCAGCAAGGATTTCGGTTTTGGGTTTTTTTTTTGTTTTTTTTTGCTTATTTAAGACGCCGAGAGGTCCTGGTCCAGAAGAAAAATGAGTAGAAAGGGCTTATAATAAGGAATGATCAAATAAGAAAAGTAATTTTCGTTTTTAGGGGGTTTTTCGCTTTTTTTATTTTTACGACTCCGAGAGGTTGGGCCAGACGGAAAAAGGAGTTAACAGGATTTTAATAAAATTTTCAAGGGTTATAAGGTTTTTTATTTTCTTGTTGTTTTTTTTGTTGTGTTTTATAT